TGTTATAATTGTCTTTATGTTCTGATTAATGGTAGTCCCATCATGGACTTTGAGGCAAAGAGAGAGATTCACTAAGGATACCCTATCTCATTTTCTTTTAATTTTGGTTGCTGAAGGGATTACTGGTTTGATAAAGAATGCATGCTCTTTAAATTATTTTGAACCATTCACCCTGTTTAACCATCTTCAATTCGATCTGCTTGAATTTACAATGACACTACGATCATGGTCCAACCATCTTAGGATAACATTTGGTTAATCAAATCTATGATTCGCATTTTTTTTAGCTTTCCTCTAATTTGTCTGTGAACTTCCACAAAAGCAAGATTATTGGGTTTAATGTTAAGGTGGGCTTTTTGAATGTAAATTCTAACTTTTTTTCTTGTGAAATAAGTCATTTTTTCGTTATCCTTCTTAGGCATTAAGATTGGTGGTAATCCTAGAAGGAAGTCCTCGTGGGAGCCGATTCTCTTAAAAATCAATAATAGATTATCTTCTTGGCGAGAGAAAGTAGTTTCGTTAAGAGGAAGAGTGGCATTGCTTAACTCATTTTTGAATGCAATTCCTCTCTTTGTTAGAAAAGGTTTTTCCCAAGTTGCTTAGTTTTTTGATTAAGTGGAGGAATATAGTCTACATGGAATCCATGGAATTTTCGGGTTCCATACAGAGTAGTTCGAACTCCTATGTAAATATGTTGATCTTAGAATCCTTGACATTATCTGTTCCCTCATAGAGAGTTTGGGGAGCGTCTGATGCATCTTTAACATTCTTATGATATGAAATTAAGTATAATACTTTGTGCTTAAAGTTGAGATAAGTATGTTCCTTGTTTTCAAATCATATGAAACTTGTTTGGTTTCATTATCTCTCCACTATTTAGTTTTTTAACAACATCATTGTCTCCCTTAGGAATAAAAAGTCATTCGATGATGGCTACCCATATATTTTTGTCAACTAATAGTAAGTGTGCATATATGTTCTCTTTATAATAAGTATAATTCTTGCCTTTAAAAACATGTGTTCTATTATACGCTCCCTTTGGATTGCATTCGTTTGCCATATTCTCAAACTTTTGGAGTTGATTAGACTTAATCAAAAGACCGGCTCTTGATGCCAATTGTTGAGGTCAGAATATGGAGTAGAAAAGCAAGACTTTTAATATAAAAAATCAACTAATTTTCCAGAAATAGAATATCATAGGTTTTTCAAATTTGCGCGCGAAAGTTTTAAAGCAAAAATGGATATCTATGCTTATATTGGATTTCAATCACGTCGACAGATACACAATTCACAAAACTCATAGATTGTTCAACAATGAATAATTAAATGATTGTATATTACACGAGATGTGTCTTATACGATATTTCAATTATGATCGGATTCTAAGAGTACTACTTTTCCAAATTTTAATCACCATTAAAGCTCATTTAGGTACCAATTCTAACAAAACCTAATCTTACCTAATAAATTGCTACCAACTGAATAAGCGATAAACTACGTTAAGAATTGAAAACATAAGCATGCAACTATCCTATGAAAATTAAATGCAAGAGTGAGTGTGTGTGTGTGTGTGTGTGTATATTTGTGTGAGAGAGAAAGGGAGAGAGAGAGAGAGAGAGAGAGAGAGAGAGAGAGAGAGAGAGAGAGAGAGAGAGAGAGAGTACACCAGGATATATAATGATTAGGCGTTCATCCTCGCTTTTCCTACTCCACTATTCAATGGTTTCCCATTAGAACCTATTTTGTTCATTTTTATTTTGACAAATATTGTAAAAGTTCATACAATCACTAATACACAACATTGTTGAGAAAAAAATATATTCTATATGGATCTTAACTTGTACACAACCTTAATGCTACCAAGTACACTACCTAGGACAAATGGAGAGAAAAACCTCATTCTTTTCACTGGATCTTTTCAACACCAATGACAACAACCTGATCTTGCAAGCTTCTTAAAAATCTAAACCAAATCTTAAAGAATGATTAGTTTCAAGATGGTGTCTCTCTCAATCAGCTACAAATCTCTCATGATCAAGATCTGAAACCAGACTAGAGGTTGAAGATGAAAGAAATTTGTTTGCAAGATTTTTTGAACTTTCAAAAGTGAGAGGGTGTTGATTTCACAAAACCACAATGTAGATTGTGAAAATATTGTAAAAGTTTTTATTTGAAATAAGATGACAAAAATATTTTATATGTGCTTGAGATTAAACACAAAAATGGATGGAAAACGTTAGTTAGATTCGAGTCAAGAGGATTTCATGATTTGAGTCAAAGGAGCAAGTAGTGTGAAACAAGATCTCAATAAAAAAAGTGATCAATTTCCCTGTGATTTGTGTCAGGTTAAAGTTGTGATTTGAGTCACACAAGTTCATGATTCGAATAATTTGGTAAGCCTGATTCAAATTAAACAAGGTAGTGTTTGACATGAGGTATGTGATTCGAGTCATGTAGATCTTGTGATTCGAGTCACAAAGTCGCGTGATTTGAGTCAAGTGTAAATTGTGATTCGAATTACATACCCAAATTTTTTCCAGCTCTCCTCAGTTTAGTTTGATTTGAGTCATGAATTGTGAGTAAATCGAGTCACACCAAGAAATCTTAATTTTCAAGTTTTTCAAAATAGTTTTTTATTCCACTTCCCACATTACTTTATTGATATCATTTATGGTTCTTGTTTCCTTCGGATTGGAATGTTTTATGCATATTATATGTCATGCCCAAGTGCTCAACTCTTACATTCCTCTGTATATGAACCTTTGATACTTCTCAGAAACCTGGATAAGTTTGCATGTATTTTCCTTTTGCCCAAGAAAATACTCTCTAGTATTGTTCATCCCAGAATTCCTAAGGGTCAAGCTTTTACAAGCCGAGTACAAAGAACAGGCAAATCGAGTAACATGATCTTAAGTAAATCGAAACCCAACCACAATAAAGTATTATCATCAAGTCAGAGCAGGTCAGATCCGGTCTCATATTGACTCGGGTTGATGTGAAAGCTGAACCCGGTCTCATGAAGGTGCTAGAAGGCAATATGAATAGTCACATATGACAGTTACAAAACATCTCCATGATTGTATGTGAGTTACATAAATTAATGGAAGAAACGTTACTAGAGAGTTATGGAGGACGAAGGATATTACACGAGGTCACTTTAATATGGGATATGAAAGGGCATCCCTTTAATGGCCCTTGATGAATGGAAGAGTATAAAAAAAAACTTCCCAATGAAGAAGATGGACAACTAATACCCCCTAACAAAATAGGACGATTGTGACTTCACCTGACTAGCTTCAATGAGATTTCTCCAAATAGTATTTAACAAGAACAAGTATGATAACCAATTTTCTTTCATCACCAATTTTCTTTCATCTTCTTCACTCCTGAACCTCACAAATTCTTTTCTTTTGCCATATTTGCTCCTTCTTAGTGGAATCACCACCTAGTCTATCACTTCATAATTTTTGAATACGTAGTACATACCCATACCCATTGCCTTCACATATTTAAGGAACTCTGAAAAATAGAATGTTGTGATGCTATCTCCTTTGCCCACTATAACTTTATCTTTCTTCTCAGCATTTTTTCTCAAGTGTGAATCCCACTTTGACTTCTTTTTGACACTGTTTACCACCTTTAAAATTGTTGGCTTAACATTTTCTCTTTTAACACTTTTTTCATGAAAATCATGTAAAATGAATTTATTTTTTTTGTCGTTTAAATAGATTGAAAGAATAGTAAGTAGATTGAGAGGACTGGTTCCTTCTCTTTTGAGTTTTTGTTCTGACGGCTAAGATAAATCTTTCAATTAAAATAAAAGGCTTAATACATATTTTAGTCTCTTAAATTAATTTAATGTTCTGCTTTAGTCATTTAACTAAAAATGTTACAAGCTAGTCCCTTAACTTCACCTCTGTTACCTTATTTGGTCTTTTCTGTCAATTTTTGTCAAAAACACATTATGTTTTAGTGACGTGACGTGATAGCAAGACCATTGATACAAATATAAGTCAACCTATGTAGTTAAAAATGATACATTGTTTAAATTGCGAAGTTCCCCCGAAAACAAAACTCACGCAGTTTAAACAATATATTAGTTTTTAATTATATATGTTAACTCAGATTTGTACCAATGACATTACTATCACGTCACGTCATCAAAATTTAACATTTTATTATCAGAAATGGACAGAAGAAACCAAATAAAATAATGAAAATAAAATTAAAGAATTAATTTATAATATTTTTTAACTGAAAGATTAAAACAAAATTTGGTAACTAATTATACCTAAAATAAACTAGAATTAATTATTTCAAAAGTAAAACTAATTAACATATATTTTCTTAAAGAATATAGATAGTTATAAGAATCGACTTTCACCTTCTTTAAAAATTAATAACACAGATAAAATTATTCTTACAAAATTTCTAATAATAATTACGCAATAATTCCATCACTTTGAAACAATAATATTAAAAATAAATAAAAAATTAAATCAAATAAAATAGAATAGAAACGTGTAAAAGGATTCTATAATTGACTCCATGTCCTTTACTCTGTCTCATGCAAAGTGCAAACGCTACAAGTCAAATTGGTTTGGTAAACTTAGCCCATTAGTCTCATCCCACGCGGCTTTCTATTTTTCTAACTATCTTTATTCTTCTAAGTCTCAAAACTCGGCATGTCTAAATACTAATTTCGTTGACCTAACAAATTACTGAATGAAACCACACACCTCTTCACACCGCCTTAAACCGTTAAACGTCATCGTTTCACCCTTCTTAGTTCTAGTAGCTTTGTATTTTTTTTGTCCATGATCTTGGAGCATCAACATAACACGCTCCGTATAAATGCAACCCCTCTTTTTTTCCCCTATAAATACAAACAAAAACACATTTCCCTTACAATTAAGTTCCTGCACTTCAGAACAAAAACCAAACAAACACATTCCTAAAAAACAGGGGCGACCCAACTTCAAAGAACACATCACACAACCATGGCAAAGAACCTAAACGTTCTTGCTTTTGTTCTTCTTGCAATAGCAAACCTTCTCCACGGTTCGTTAGCTCAAACACGACACGTGGTTGGTGATGCCACAGGCTGGACTATCCCAAACAACGGTGCTTCATTTTATGTCAACTGGGCTTCCAAAAATACCTTCACAGTAGGCGACACTCTTGGTAAGAAAGAAATAATAGATCATCTATCATTTATGTGTTCTGTTTTGTCGTTTCTATTCGTAGAATTAATTAATTTGTTTGAATTTAAATTTGATTTTGCAGTGTTCAATTTTCCCACCGGACAACACGATGTTGCTAAGGTAACAAAATCAAATTTTGATGGTTGTAATGGAGCGAACACGCTTTCTATGTTAACAAACGGTCCAGCTACGGTGACTCTGAACGAAACGGGACAGCAATATTTCATTTGTACCTTTGGAACTCACTGTTCTATGGGTCAAAAAGTGTCTATTAACGTTGTTAAAGCTTCAACTTCGCCTGTTGCTGCTCCTAAACCCAGTGCTTCTCCACCAAAACAAGCACCAGTACAAGCACCAACACCAACCACAACCGCTTCACCAGCACCAACACCAACCACCACTGCTTCACCAGCTCCAGCTCCAGCTCCTGTTACTGGACCTGTTACTTACACTGTTGGTGACACGTTAGGTTGGACTGTTCCCACCAACGATCCTGCAGCTTATACATCTTGGGCATCTCGCAAGTCTTTCAAAGTTGGAGACATTCTCGGTAAGTCATTACTAGAGGCAAAAGTTGGATACCATTTTTTGTGAGTCATATTAATGAAAAACTTATGTATGATTATGCAGTTTTCAATTTTCCATTGAATGTACACAACGTGGAAGAGGTGACAAAGGAGAAATATGGTTCTTGCAACTCATCTTCTCCGATTGCCACTTTTAGCAATCCACCGGTGAGAGTCACCCTTAACAAAACTGGTACCCATTACTTCATCTGTGGTGTTCCCGGACACTGCTCTGGTGGCCAAAAGCTTTCCATCAATGTTGGTGGTAGTAGCAGCAGCAGCCCCGCCTCATCACCTTCTCCGTCCGCCACATCACCTTCTCCATCCGCCTCTTCACCTTCTCCATCCGCATCTTCACCTTCTCCTGCCACCGGTGCCACTCCTCCACCGTCTTCTACCGTTACCCCTTCTTCTCAGTCTCCAGGTGGTTCTCTCAGCCCTCCTCCCGAGAACTCTAGTGCCGCATCTCTTGGGGTTACTGGATTATTTGTCGCAATTCTCTCCGTGGCCGCAGCATTTTTCTGTTGAGAAATGAGATGAGATCATAGTTAGGAGGATTAATTGTTTTTGATTTGATGGTGTACGTGATTCTTTGTGTTTATTGTGTTTTTTTGGATATTTTACAATGATGTTATCTTTCTGTTCTTCTGATACAGTTTTGGTTTTACATTTTATTTTTATTTTTTATTTTTATTTTGATGAGAATAATAGGTGGTGTACGGTTGTGTTAATATGCTAATATATAAATAAATAGTTTTTTTTTTTGGAAATAAATGTATTATTTATTTAATGTTGAGATTGTTGTTTTTTTTTTTAATTACAAATCATATCCCTAACCAATTATTAGGGGTGTTCATGGGTTTCTTTTGACCAAAACCAAGATGAAACTATACTGAGTACATTATTTAAGAATAAAGATCCTCTAACTTTTTCTTTTGAGTACATTTGTAGGAAATCTATCGCTGGATTGATTTTGTTAAAATCACATATTTATGGACTGAATTGATTAAATAGTATATTATTATTTTTCTTATATAATTTTAAATGATGTATTGTACTATCTTTATATATATTACCACTATGGCTAAATATACAGTTACATTTGTTAAAGAAAAAGACACTTTTAAAAATTAAAGTTGTATTACAATAATATCTATAATTGCATTAAATATTTACAAGTTACAATCATTAGCACAAAATAAATAAAATACAACATCTAAAATAAATTCAAATTATGATTTACAAAATAAGAGTTAAAATTTAATCAAATAAAAATATATTAATTAATTAATTTTTTAATATATGTCAATTTTTATGTGATGAAGGGTATACTTATTTATTTAATAAGAATTTATGTGAGATCAATGTCACTTTAATATATTTTGGAAGCTTGAGTATAATTTTCTCTAATAAAAATATAAATGTATTAAGTGGGATATTTGTTGGAATTAATTCAAAATTTTGAATAATTCTGAATCAATCTTGATAAACAAGATTTAATCAACCGATTAAAATCTCTTATTCTTCACTCTTCACTTGAGCGAATCAATCACACCTTAATTGCAAGAATGATTATGCGCGACAATTATTAATGGAAGAAGAAAGAAAATTGAATAAGAAAGAAGATTATGGTTTGACGAAAATTGGGGAAGAAGAGGATGATTTCTGCATAGTGACTCTCTACTCTCAAACTGAAAAAATCTGACTATGCAATTGCACTTTCTGTTGTATGTTACAATTCATAATAGGATTACTCCCTATTTATAATTGAGCTAACTTGCTCCCTAAGCTAAAGCCCAAAAAAATACAAAAGCCCAAATATTTATTTTGGTCTAAGTTGAAATTATGTGCCAAGCAACCTGCTTCGACACTTCGACATCTAACACTACTCGACCCACACTACACTAGACTAATTTCGACACATCCTTGTCTATGTCGAGCTACACCTGCTTCGACACAAGGAATTACAGTCTCAACACACTACCTAATTCATTGTGTCTAAGTTATCTATATTCATCATAGACCTTAACTTCTTGAACACTTCGACTTGCACTCCTTTTGTCATGATATCTTCAATTTGATTCTCAGTTCTGCAATGTTCCAAGTTCATCTTCCCTTCTGTTACATGCTCTCGAATATAATAGAACCTCATTTCGATGTGCTTGCTTCGTCCATGTGCTATCAAATTCTTCGCCAGATTGATAACTGACATGCTGTCGATCTTCATGGTAATTGTTCCATGACTCTTCGTTGTAATCTCCTCGACCAGATTCACCATCTACTTTGCTTAACATTCACATAGAGAAGAAGCTTTGTACTCTACTTCGCACGACGACATTTCCACTACTGGCTCCTTTCTCGAACTCTAAGCAACTGGTGCACCACGTAGCATAAAAACATAGCCAACTGTGAATTTTCTATCCTCAACATCACTACACCAATTTGAGTCGGTGTATTCCACTAACTTGTATCTTTTCCTTCATCAGTTGCAGGAAACAAAATGCCATAGTCGAAAGTTCTTTTCATATACCTTAATATCCTCTTTGTCACTGCTAGGTGTGATACCTTTGGCTTCTGCATGAATCTACTCACCATACCGACACTGTATGCTAGATCAGGCCTTGTGTGACAAAGGTATCTTAATGACCCAATAAGTATTCTGTACTGAGTTGATTCGACATCATCTTCATATGATTCTTTCGGCAGTTGCAATCTGGGCTAAGCTAGAGTCGAAGTTGGGTTGCAATCTTGCATCTCAAATCTCTTGATTATTTCGCCTGCATATCTTATTTTGTGCATCATCAAACCTCTACTTCTCTTGTAGAACTCGATACTAAGGAAGTATGAGTGATTTCCCAAGTCTAACATTTCAAACTCCTCACTTAGGTCGTGTTTTAAATCTTCAATTTCCTTCTTGCAACTTCCTGTTATCAACATGTCATCGACATAGAGACATAGTATAAGAAATTCATTATTGCTTCTCCTTACATATACTACATACTTAGTTTTACACTTCACAATTCTTTCTCCCTTAGAAAACTAGCTATCTTCTTATTCCAAGCTCTTGGAGCTTGCTTAAGTCCATACAAGGCTTTATGCAGCATGTACACTTTTCTTTCTTCGCCTTGTTTCACAAACTCAACTGGTTATGCAACATAAAATTTTTCATATAAGCGGCCATTCAAGAGTGAACATTTCACGTCCATCTAACATATGTGCCAATTTTTCATGTTTTCTATACCAACAACCAACCTGATTGTTTCGATCCTAGCAACAAGTGCAAAAAATTCGCCGAAGTCGATTCCTTCTTTTTGAAGAAATCCTTTTCGCTACAAGTCTTTCCTTGTGTCGAGTTACTTCTCCTTTAGGATTCAACTTCACATTGTATACCCACTTCACATCGATTTCCTTCTTTCCTTGAGGAAATTCGATAAGTGACCAAGTGTTATTGACTTTGATGGACTCTAGTTCCTCATTTATTGCTTTCTTCCACTTTGAATCTTTCAATGCCTCAGCTGCATTGACTTGTTTGGCATCTGCGTAGAAAGCATAGTGTACCAACTCACCTTCTTCATTTCCCACATCATCTGATGTAATCACACATTCTTGCAGGCATGTGTCTTGTTCATTGAGGTCTGCTTAGGCCTACTTCACCTCTAACTTCTTCTTGTCGAACTTCTCTTTCGACTTCACTAGTTGGTTCTTCATATAAGATTCTCACTGAATCCTTCTTAACATTCTCATTCTAATCTCATTCCTTAAGCTCATTTATGATCACGTCCCTGCTGATCACAACTTGCTTATTCACTGGGTCGAACAACTTGTATCCTCCAGTTGAATGATATCCTATTAGGATCATTTGACTCGAACTTATCATCAAGTTTTCTTCTCAGCTAATCTAGCACATGTCTATGTCCTATAGATCCAAACACCTTCAAATGACTTAGGCTAGACTTGACACCAGACCAACATTCTTCTAGCGTGATTCCTTATAGCTTCTTCGTCGGACATCTATTTAAGATATATGTTGCAGTCGACACAGCTTCTCCCCAAAATTCTTTGGGTAGATGCTTTCCTTTTAACATGCTTCTCACCATATCCATGATGGTTCTATTCTTCTTTTATGCAGTTCCATTCTACTGTGGAATGTAAGGTGACACCACCTCATACACAACCCATTGTTTCTCACATAATGCATCAAAATCTTTCGACACATACTCTCCACCGCCATCAGTCCTCAGAATCTTTAGCTTTCGACCACTTTATCTTTCTACCATAGATTTAAATTTGGAAAATACCTCGATCACATAACTTTTCTTCTTAATCAGGTAAGTCCATAATTTTCGACTGAAATCATCTATAAAAGTGATAAATTATTTGTTATCTCCAATCGAACCTTCCTGGATAGGACCATATACATTAGAGTATATGACTTCAAGAATTGCCTTCGATTTGCTTCTTGCATTCTTATTGAAGTTGTTCTTGTGCTGCTTCCGCCTGCACACATTCTTCACATACTTCATTTGGGATGTCGATTTCTGGTAATTCTGAAACCATATTTCTTCTCTTCAAATCTCTTATGTCTTTGAAATTGAGATGACCAAGTCTATAATGCCATATCCATTCATCTCTATTGGATGCAGTTGCAAGGAACTTATGCTCCATCATATTAAGTTCAATCTTGAAGCTTCTATTTTTGAAACATAAGAGCCTTCAAGATTAACCTTCCTTCTGGGTCGAGAACTCTCATCATCTTTTCTTCAATCGACACCATGTAGTTCTTTTCGACCAACTTCCATATGCTGAGCAAATTACTCTTCATGATTGGTATGTAAAATACATTGGAAATTAATGACCTCTTGTCATCCTTCCTCATAATCAAAACATCACCAATACCTTTAGCTGCTAGAGTATTGTCATATGCAAATTTCACCATGTTCTTCATTAAGGGTTTTATGTTTACAAACCAATCCTTTTGACCAGTTGTCATACCCCAAATTTTGACCCCTTAGATCTTCATCATCATTTTAGGAGCACGTTCACATGTTTATCTAACCTTAACCCTTTTCAAGTGGTCTTTGTCAAGTTACAGGAGGATCAGGGTTTTGTACAGCCGAAATCGAGATTTCGAGGGTTGACCAGTCAATGTTTTGGATTGGTTCTCTTTGAGATTTGATTTCCACATCATCAAGAATATTCAATTGAATCAAGCATGAACCCAATTTGAGGTTGTCACCCAGGAATCAAAAGCAGTGAAGTTCAGGATACCCGATTAGGGTTTTCGAGCAGGAAAAGTCAACTGTGGTTTGACTTTTGATCTAAAAGGTGTTGCAATGGCAGGATCATGGTCCATAATGTTCATATGGCTTGGTAAAGTCCATTCAAGAAGTCTCAAAGCCTCAAAAGGTCCAGAGCATCAACAGTCGACTCGGTAACCACCGATCAATCGTTCAGTTGACCGAAAAGTCAAGTATTCACTCATAAGGAATCTGACCTCAAGATGTGAATAAAAAATGTTCCTAATGACA